CAGGAGGCTGTGACTCCGGTGAGACTGACTGCACTCTACCCCACACTTGATTTCTGCAGGACGATGTGCTTAAAAGCACATGTGTAACTGACCATGACCTCATTTACAAACACGTATGGTTTCTCATGTAAATCCACCAAAGTGATGACAAAGAAGTGATGTCCATCCAGGGAACTTTGATGTGCTTAAAAAGCACATGTGTAACTGACCATGACCTCATTTACAAACACGAATGGTTTCTCATGTAAATCCACCAAAGTGATGACAAAGAAGTGATGTCCATCCAGGGAACTTCACTTTTAGGTCTGCTTAACTGACTGACAACTAAGATTTTGAGTAAACTCTGCAAACCTCTCCAAGACTCAGTTTCCCCTATTTGCCAAGTGGAGTTATTTAGATGCCAGCACCTTTTCAGTGTACAAGTAAATATCTAGCTCTATGGGACTGAGAAAATAACATGAGATCCCAACATAGCACAGCCTACACCCAAATCCTGAGTCTCACCAACAACTGGCTGAGTCTGTTCTCGCTCTGCTCCCAGGTACAGCAGAGAGCGAAGACCATAGGCACCAGCGAGCCCTTTTATGGAAACAGCTGTCAAAATCTGTTTAAACCATCTGTTTCTCTGCCTGTTTTTCTCTTCCATGTTTTTCCTTCATGTGTTCTTTGCTAACAACAAAAACATCTATTCTAAAATAACCAAGATGTTATGATTAAAAATGCCAGAGAGACAGATCCACTTTATGAGAAAAATTGCTTTCAAAAGAGGGGTTAGGTTATCTCGTGGAAGAAGGTAACATTTCCACAAATATTATAGTTACGTTAAGAAAATAACCAACTACTTTCATTAAAAGAGGATGTGACAAGATTTGTATTTGTTCATGTAAATGAATTTAATGCTGCCGAAATTTGTCATACCTGAAAGCTATTGAAGTTTAGACTATATTTTTCTACTGAGCAAAATTGCTTAAGGAATTGTCTCTTGGCCTGTAAATAGCAGGTCTTCTGCCGACAATAAAAGGGTCACAAGTCAATCTTTGCATGTATTTGCATAATGCCTAACACCAAAGAGTGTTAACACCTCCAGGTATCGTTTTTTTTTTTTTTTCCCTTTTTCTTTTGAGTGGGAGGCTAGGTGAGGTAGTCAGTGTTTATGCAGAGGCCCTTTCTACCAGTTCACTGTTTTACATTTGGTACCTCCTGTTTAGATGCCAGTGACGGTGACATGTACAGCCATGCATGCTTTCATTACAGCCCCTGGTTGTGCAACTGGTTTTCCCTCTACAGAGTGAAAATCTCACTGTCTCACCTGCACACCTCCACACTATCTTAATAAGTTCAGATTTTCTGCAGAAGTTCCATTCCATACTTAGGATGTCATTAATATGCCATTTTTCTCTGTCTCTCACCTGGGTTCACCCTGGTTGATGGACATATAAATCTCCCAAGAATTCTCCTCTGCGATGGCGCCATGCGGTATGAGTAAACTTACCCCTAAAACAGAAAAGCCAAGAGGTTATTCATAGATTTTCCAATTATCTTGAAGCACCTCACATGAACACCATATAGATGCCCACCAAAAAACAGGACCTTCCCACAGCTATTCTTGAAATCTCCATCCTTAGAAGGTTTAAAAAGTCCGAGATAATAAAGGGAAATATCATGTTTTATAATAGTAACGTAAAAAAGGGAACATTATTAAACTGAGTGCTCAGATTGTTTTGTGGTTTTGTTTTGTTTTTAATTTTAAGTCTCCTCAACATTGTTTAATTTCCTTAAAAACTGGGTGTCTTAGACAAGGCATTATCAATCATATCTGAGAATATCAGAGTTTATCAATGAACAAGTTAATCTGCTCCAAAATTTAAAAATGCATTTCTCTGTCTTGTCTCTATCCACAGATTCTACTGATTTCCTGAAAATGAACCTGAATGGTGAGTGAGCTAACTAGAACTTTGCTAGAACCTGGTACAATTGTCTTACAAATTGTGCATCTGGAAGTAAGTTGAGGGTGGTTCTCACTGGACCACTGAATTTTGTCAAGAAAACTAGAGAAAGTAAAAGCATCTGAAAGTTTAGAAATCTTATAGGTTATTGTGTAACTAATGTGGCCTTATATTTGCAAACAGAAGCTAGGAAGGGGTAAAGTTATAAAGCGGACTTAACCATATTTGTATCAATGTCAACTTGAAGAAATTCAGCAGCCTTCAGTAAAATAATATAATGCAGGGAGAGAAGGCACAGGAAGCCACAAAACACTGCATTTTAAATGAACCCTCTTTCCTCTTAAACGTTGTGAAGAAAACATTTCACTTTGGCCAAGAGAGAAGAGTCTACAGAAGACAGGGAGTCTCTTTAATGCAGCATTTCATTTATAAAAAGAAATGAAACAGAAAAACACTGGGACCTTCACAAAATAATATCTCAGGGCACCCTCTTTGAATAATGTGGCTCGCACTTTCTCCTTTCATTACAGCTAATGTAATTGTACAGAAGGCTTTCAGGTTGCCGGTGATAGTTTAAATCTAGAGATGGCAGGCCTTACTGATATCCTTCTACATGCTGTGAGCAGGTACAGAATCCAGGAATGCAAGACTCATTGCAAAACAAGTTATTTGTAATTCCTGTTCATGAGCATTATTCACTAACGTGCTAGTTATCATCAGCATCTTTCACTAGCACTAAGAATGAGACATTTAAATCTTGCTTACAGCTTTTCAGCAAGGAGACCCATTTGTATTCCGGACTTTAATGTCACTAGAAGGAGAGCTGAAATTGCCACACTTAGGGATCTCCAATCAGGCTCTTCCTTCCATTTTCTATTGTTTTTTTATTGTGGTAAATATATATATATATATAACATAAGGATTGCCTTTTTAAGCATTTTTAAACATACAGTTACGTGGAACTAGTTACATCCACAGTGCTGCGTAACCACCACCTCCATGTATTCCCAAAACGTTTCCTCATCCTAAACATAAACTCTGTACCCATTCAACAATAACTTCTCATTAGTCCTTCCCCTTCCATTTTCTACTATTCCTTAAGTGTGGTTAGCAAATGAAGTGGACTCCGTGGTAGCCTCCCCTGTCGTGGAGCACAGTTGTAAAACACAGGATATTCAGAATGTTTACGCGTCACCCTGAATACGTGCCCTGGACATGTGTCTTCTCTCGGTTTGATACAGCACTTTCTCTCTGCTGACTCGGTCAGGCTCCCAGACCATTATTACAACAGAGACATGCAGTCCCTATTCTTCAGATACAAAAGTACAGGAGACTGTCATCAAACAGTAACACCACGTTACATCAATAACTCTTAGCACACACAATGCCCGGCCTAGACTAAGAACCAGGTAAACATCATAAATCTATAAATGAATGAGTAGGATTCAAAATTCTTAGTGAAAAAACAACGCTCTGGGACATGCTATCTTCTACAGATCATCACGACCTGATGGTCTACTCCCAGACAAAACCGGAAAATGTGTGAGGATGTTTGGGAAAGTAGCAGGTCACATCTCATTTCTTTCAAGTTGGCTTAATTCCCCATGCTTAGATTGAAACATTATTCATAATACTCCTAAATTCAACCTGAGTCTAAAAAATCATTGGTGCTTTAAAATATTTTTTCTCTTCTTCAATCAGAAACTATACTATCTTGCAAACATACTTCCCTCCTCCTACCTATGCACACCAACTATGTGTAAAGACTGAAGACGGTCAAGCACAGAGGCGAGGGTCACGGAGGGTAGCAAGTTATGTGTTATCATGAATGAGAAGCAGTGTGGAAAAGCTTTGTGCCTACGGTCCCCTAAAGAAGTGTCCATCTTCAATATGTCATACACCAGTTATCTCTGATTAAAGAAAAATATCCTCCCCTCAAACTCCACCTGCTATCCTGACAGCCTTTCACTTGATATGACAACAGAACCACCTGTCTGAGTGAGTTTTCTGTTTCATATTTTGCATAATAAATGATTTCTAGAGCACAGAGACCATGCCAACCTTTCTGAAAAATTACTGCCGGGCATCAAATGACAATTTGGGATGAATAGCATTAGCACAATCTAATTTCCGTGCCTTCCTTTTGTTAAGCTTTAGCTTCCTAAGTCATGTTTTGCATTTATGTCCTGCAAATAATACAGCATGTATTTCAATTACCCGCTCTTATTTTTCCTGAAATTCACTCCTAGTGAACAGCTTCAATCTTGTCCAGCACTCCCTGTCAGGAGCTTTGAAATGCCCCTTTTACAGACGATCTGTTTGGGAATTATTGACAATGCTATCAGAACTTTTAGTTTTCAACATGAGTGCGTCTCAAGTCAGACGGGAAGAGAAAGAAAAATCTCTGGTTCATCATGATTTCATCTTTCTTTGATGGACATTATACAAACCTAGCCAATGAATGGGTTGGTCTTGGTACTCTCTCCGCATGTGTGTAAATATGTGCACACGCATGGACACACACTATCAAATGAGGATGGGAAGAGACAGGAGGAGTACCGGCCACTTTATTCAACCACTACTATTGAGAACCTCCTAAGAGCCAAGCATGAGCTAGAAAGAAGACATAGAGAAATGTACAGACATGTGTGTAAATATGTGCACACGCATGGACACACACTATCAAATGAGGATGGGAAGAGACAGGAGGAGTACCGGCCACTTTATTCAACCACTAACTATTGAGAACCTCCTAAGAGCCAAGCATGAGCTAGAAAGAAGACATAGAGAAATGTACAGGAGTTCAATGGGCAACCTTACAGGATCCTGATGTGTACTTGTACCTCCTATTTTCTTTGAGAGGACAGGCATTGTGTCTTTTACTTTTCATTTCCCAGGACCCACACCTCTAATTTATGGGATCTTACAGGAAGGGCAATTGGTAACTGTGGCTGACTGACCCATTTGCACTGTGATGCCTGTCTGCTAATTATCAACAGGAAGAATACATCACACATAGATGCTCAGACATTGACACTCATCCACATTTTAGCCAAGATCCTTACCACTGACCAAGAAAGATTTAGAGAATTGGAAGATGAGAAGACAAAAACATTATTAGGGTTGCATTTGAGGGATATTTTAAAGAAATAGAATACATTTTGAAATGAAGTTTTTAAGGAAGTGACGAATCTAGGAGAGAACAAGACTACAATCATCAAATTGAAACACATTTCAGTCTCAAGTCACTAAGCTACTAGAGGGGTCAGTTAGCTAGAATAGTAGCATCAGACTAGTCCTATTACAGATTGCCTTCTTAGATAAAATGTTTGATTTGAAAAGTTGGCTAGTCCCCGATAGAGAGGAATCTGTCAAGGCCCTAATGGCCCTGACTCAATGCTGACTGCAGTTCAATAACTCTGGCAGGTCCGGATCCAGTGCAATCTCTTCTCTCTCAGCAGCCAACACAGCACTACCTGATTCGTCACACTACCTAATTCTTGTTACTTAGAAATTAGAGGAGAAATTGACCTCTTCGGCCATCCACTTAGGGCTTAAGCAGCAACTCTGAAGACTAATCCATAGATAGGATGTCATTTTAAAAGTGATCTGGACTGGACACCTTAAGTATCCTGTCAAAACATCAAGAAAATCTCCTCTCTTCCAACCAAAAGGAGGGGAGAAAAAAACTTGAGAATTAATTGTACCTATGACAAAGCATTGGAACTGAAGTGTGAATTCAAAAGAGCAGCTCCATAATGATCCCCCATCATTGCTCATCATAAAACAACATTAGAGCAAAGTTATGGACACTGAGAGTGTTTATTAGGTCAGTTACTGATGAAATTAGACTCCAAGTGTCATCACACAAAATATACTGGTGCCATAAACCATGCTTGCGTATAAACACAGTGCCTGTAAGTCATGTCAAAGAATGTTCCAGGTACTTCCTGATCATGTTCTAGAAAATATATTTCAAAGGGTCTTAAACCCTGGGGATCATCCAAACCTCCTAGCAAATAACAGCTATCAACTGTCCTAGGGCATCAAATGGAGTGCTGGGTCCATGCCGAGATGAAGATCGCAAAATCTCCTCTCAGCACTGGTCTGGTTTGCTGTGTGAATCAAGCAGACTGGTGGACCAACGTGTTTGCATCTCTGGCAAGGGGATGGTGAACATTATAAAACAAATCTGATAAATATAAAATGTAATGTTTAAATACATGCTGGAAGATACACGAGCACACACTTGCCACCCACCTGTATTTGGCATGACTAAGCGCCCCCCTAAATGGCCAAAGACACCAGTTGTCCTCAGTTCTGTCCTTGTGGGGAGTGATGACAGATTTTGGATGTAGGGCGTTTTATTTCTGGAATGCAGTGTACTAAAGCTGCGGTTGTTGCCGTGGGGAAAAGTGCCGGAATGATTCTTGCCGTGGTACTCGGCTCTCTCAGACACTCCCAGGGAAACCATGAATGAGCTCTGGACTTTGACTTTGATGTCAGACAAAGGGTTAAAGAGTGAGGACTCTGTCATGAGGTCCTTGTCCAGAGGGTCCTGCAGACAGATGGGTCCACTGTATGTTCGGCTCACTGTCAGATCTGGTTGCATGGCAGGATTCAGGAGCAGGGAATTACCTAGTAAAAGAAAATTGATCTGTCACTCAGAAACTAAAAAGCACCTCAGTTTCCCTTTCTATCTGCCTCTCCAAACTACACAACAACCTGATGGTTACAAGCTGCTCCGGTCAGATCTAGCTCTTCAGACCACCCCGAGTAACCAGAGAAGCTGCAATGGGTCATTAGTGACCAAAATCCTCCACTTTTCAGAGATCTTTAGAAGCTACCGTTTCAAAGCAAGTATTTCTGGCACTCCACCAGGCAACTAACTCAGGTATTATTGTTTATGTGATTATTTTAACAGGAAAAGGGAAGCTTTAAAAAAAAAAAAAAAAAGACACGTCTAAGACCCACTTCTAACCAATGAAATTTGAATCCCTGGGGCTGGGAATGGTCTTATATATGGAGTCCAAGCTCCCCAGGTGTTTCCAATTGCAGCCAGGGTTGAGGACCACTCTCTGCTTACTCAAAGAACGTGCCTGGTGCAGGTGAGAATTATGGTCACTAGAAAATAGGTTTTGAAAAAGAAATCTGTTCATTAAATGGCAAGAGATGACACAGCGTGGTGACGAGGTAGTGCTGTTTATAACTGAAATTGCGTCAGTTGCAGCACATTTCCCGTGGAATTCTGGGCAGTTTCTGGAGCTGGGGGAGGAAATGACGTGTCCTCAGAGCAAAAGAGTCAGGGGACCTCATGAACTGCTCCATGTCTGAGAAGCCAATTTGCTCTAATTATGCATATGTCACTCTGAGAGGGAAAGTATGCACCGCACATGGACAGTGAAGGACTTACATTCTACGTGGAGAGCAGTTTAGATTGGTTTCCTTTCTGTCTCAAAACAAATGAAAAAACAATCTTTACGAAAACATGAGAAATTGGACTTTGTCATCTGTTGAGGCTTGCCAATTTTTTCCAAGCCAAATATTAAAAAGAAATGCTGTGATATTTTCTTGTGATGAAGTAATCTCATTTATTAGTAAATAACAAAATAACCCTCAGTCCCAAACCTCCCACCCATATCAGTCCATCAATGTGACATCACAAATTGAAACCGAAACCATATTAAACAATCTTCCTTTGGGGCCTGACAAACCTGTTTAAAGTATGATATTTTTGAAAATGCTGCAAATCTAGGGCCAGCCCGTGGTTCACTTGGTAGAATGTGCTGCTTGATAACACCATGGCCACAGGTTCAGATCCCTATATAGGGATGGCCAGTTGGCTCACTTGGGTGCTGACAACACCAAGTCAAGGGTTAAGATCCCCTTACTGGTCATCTTTGAGGGAAAAAAAAAAAAAGAAGAAAGAAAGAAAGAGAGAGAGAGAGAGAGAAAGAGAGAGAGAGAGAGAGAGAGAGAGAGAGAGAGAGAGAGAAAGAAAGAAAGAAAGAAAGAAAGAAAGAAAGAAAGAAAGAAAGAAAGAAAGAAAGAAAGAAAGAAAGAAAGAAAGAAAGAAAGAAAGAAAGAAAGAAAGAAAGAAAGAAAGAAAGAAAGAAAGAAAGAAAGAAAGAAAGAAAGAAAGAAAGAAAGAAAGAAAGAAAGAAAGAAAGAAAGAAAGAAAGAAAGAAAGAAAGAAAGAAAGAAAGAAAGAAAGAAAGAAAGAAAGAAAGAAAGAAAGAAAGAAAGAAAGAAAGAAAGAAAGAAAGAAAGAAAGAAAGAAAGAGAGAAAGAAAGAAAATACTGCAATTCTTGGCCATATTGTATTAGCCTGTATTGTTTTTCCATTTTCATAATTTATAGCATTATCAACAGGAAATCTACAACCTTGACTTTTCCCACTTCCTTTTCTGATTCCCTAAGAATCCAGAATCACAGAGGAAAATACACAAACGAGATGAAGTAACGCTGTAGGTCTAAAGGCTCCTTCATGCAGCATTTTTTTCACGCTTGAGGATGTTGTGCGAAGACACAGGCGCCATCAAGGAGCTGTTCTCTTGATCGGAACGGCACTGAGGGCTACGGGTTACAACCTTGCTCTTGGTTACCCCCTTCCCAGGGAAGAAGTGGGACTAAGGAACCATCCCACTTCTGAAAAGAGTCTGAATGGACGTTTCCATGGACACCTCAAAAATTGCATCCCTATGTCTTCTGGCTATTTTGTCTCAAGCCCTCACCTTCTGAAGTTTAATTTTTGGCCACTCTTAAAAGACTCTCCTAGGTTATGTGCAGCAAAGAAGCAAAGGTATTTCCTAGAGTTAGTGTTTAAGTGGAAACTTCCTGATTATAAAAGATGTACATGTAAGAGAGTTCAAAGTTGAAAAGAGTTGGCTGCCAACTTGACCGTAGCCTGATTGGGGCCAGGCATCCACCCCTGATTGCCCCAATCTTCTCTTTGGAAATCCTTTTTCAAGTCCCTGGTCTACTCTAAGTATGACATTCTACTTACGAGTCTCAGTGTTCACCTTGCTGGGGCACTGGATGTATTGCTCAAGGAGGGATGTCTCTAAGACGGTGGAGGTGAAAAGCACATGACCACCAATGTGAGGTCCCTCATCACAGTGGATACAGGGAAAGCAGCATTTACCAAAGGCTTTTTCGTTATATCACTAGCTTTGTGAGATTCTTGGCCAAAAGTAAAACACAAAGTGCTCAAATAAATTTGACAAGGCAACAAAGTCTTTTAGAGATTCACAAGACATGTAGAAGCCCGTCAGTCAGGAGATGTGTTTAAGCTCATGCAAGTCAGCATTCCCCAGACGTGTTTAGCTGGGGAAACACCCCTTTCACCTGCTTCTTGGTGCTCTATGGAACATTCTGGAATCCTGTGCTAAGGTAAGAGGAAATAACCAGCTTCTAGAACTCTATTCCCTATATTTGCAAGCACTTTCCATGTGCCATGGGCTTATCTATATTATTCCAGGGAATTTCATCCTCACAAGAACACTCTGAGGTGGATATCAGTATACCCATTTTGCAGCTGTCAAAATTGAGGCTCAGAGAGGATCACTGCTTAACTAGGTCATACGGCAGTTTTACACACAGATCTAACTGACTCCAAAGCCTGTGGACTGACATATACAAAACTATCTCTCACGCTGTGTATTTCCTCTGTTTTCGAGTGTTATGGTCTAAGATACTGATATCTTATTTGATGAAAATGTATTTTCAGATTCTTATGTAGCATAAAAATCAGTTCTTAATTGGATTTGTTTCTAATTAAATCCCATATACCAAACCACACACCCAAGCCTTTCGGAGGCCTCATCCGGAGGTGCCCAGAAGTGAGCAGCTAGAGGGCTCTTGTGTCTCCAGGCCACCTCTCAATTTCCTCTTCTAGAATGCTCGGGCTTCTATTTCAGAAGCCTTTGCACTCAGTCACTACCCGGCACTGAGACTTCTCTTGCCCTGTGCTATCATCACGACTGATGCACAGTGAACAGAAATAAAGGTGACAATATTGATGATGAGGAACCAGGTACAAATCTTCATCCTCTGAAGGGAGACAATTTCACTTTTGTAAAAATGAAAGCCACGTACATCTCATCCCCACCTCAAAATCAGGAATAGATTTGGTTCATATAAGAGAATTAAATGACTCTGTATTGAAAATGAGCATTGGTAGAGTCTGATGTGATAGATTTTCCTTTCTCCACAACAAAAGATTGCTCAGACCTGGCAAAAGCTGAGAGTCATTTAGGCTGGAATTTCATTTTTTCCCTGGCTAAGTGACCCATCATGTACCCTCTAAAGTCCTTTCACTGAATTAAAATAGAAGTAACAAGAATGACTCCATCTCATGAACAGTGTAACAAATATACCTGGGAGGCTGTGGTACAAGAGTTGATCCTCAGCCTCGAATGACCAATATTTTAGTTAACTAAATTAAATATGCAGCCTCAAAGTGGGCTTCTTAAAACAGAAAGTTAAATAAATTGAGATAAAATAACTCTTTAAGCTTACAAAATATCAAAGGTGGAAAAGCCTCATTTAAAACATTGCTAATGGAAATTGAGATACATTTGTCCCCGTAGTAGTCTAGGACTTAACAGACCACATCGTCCAGCCTGGTCTCCTAATGTGTGAAGACAATTTGACAGCGGCTCCCAGTGCCAAGAGCTACCTTCACACAGGACCAAAGAGAAACTGAGGCTCCTGTGTGAGCGCAGTCTGTGGTCCTGAGGACGAGGTGTTGGGGGCCCTACGCCGCTGACCTTGACGCACTGTTTTGAAGTTGAAGGTCTGGAAGCCACCTGTCAATGCAGAAGAGTCAATGACATCCACTCCATAGTCACTCTGGCTCCGTCTATAAAGAGTGACGCCAATGACCAGGACAGCAACGGCCACGACTGCAGCACCCAGGCCCGAGTACAGGGCAATGTCGCTGGCATTCTCAATGCCTGCAAGAAACAAGAGAAATCCTGCATGACCAACGTGGGCACAAAGCCAAAAAGCCACCCCGGGATACAAAACAAAATGCAATTGGATTTTTGGTGCTACTTCTTGGAGAAAATGACATGTGTAGCTAGCCACCGTTGTATGCTCTCTCACACCAGAATCATATTTCTCAAATGCCTTGTATAAATCAAAGGGACGCTAGTCAAACATCTTAACTGCATTAAGGGAGCTTACCATGTAATAGACTCTTGATGAGAATCAATTTGGCAAAGAAAATAATATTTTTCTACTAAAACAGACAGCTCCTTAACTTTCTCATTTTCAGAAGTCATTTACCTGCAGAATACTTTTTATATTTTATTTCTATTTGAGGGAGGACAGATGCACACACAATGACAAAATATGAGTGAACTGCTCTGCTCGTATGTGACCTGGGGCACATGCACTTGCAGAGAGCTGTCTAGGATGAGAAGATAACACATGGTCTGTAAGTCACGAGAGAGCAGACCAGAGTTCACAAATAGGAATTTTAGCTTTGGCAAAAATCATACAAATTGAGAGAACACTGACAATATCAGTTTAGGGTACATACAATCATTATGAGCTAATTTTTGTTGTGAGATATGAAGGTCTTGGTCCCAGGTGCTATTATGTCCAAGGTAAATGTTTTCTGATGCCAATTAAATGCTAGACTGTAATATGCTGTCGTGGAAGGGGACTGGCCTTTAAGATGGCACATGCTGTTTCTCTCATACCTCTCCTATTCCATCCTATTGAATGCATGGGCAAAGCAAAAATAAAAGCGTTAGTTTGAATTTAGAATGTCGGTGTCTCTCCATCCCCCAAAGTGTGTTACAGCTGTTTTTCACCTCCTTTTCTAGATGCACATTGGGTAGGGATCATCCCTGAAGCACAGTCATAACGGCCACTGCAACTCAGCATAAGGGATCTATCCGAGACAGCAGAATCCTCAAAGAGGAATAATCTTGAAAGCGTGTGGAAATGGAAGATGGCAAATGCCAACTACATAACTAATCTTCCTACAGATTATGCGGTAGGTACACTTAATGGTTCCAAAAGTAATTACTATGTCACCCTGGGTTGGGCTTACGGGATAAAATAAACCCATCGTGTATTTCCCCTGTAATTGCATGGGACTTGCAATGCATTCACTGCACCCTAATATGGTACTTATGTTATCAAATGAGTAGCACTAACCGCACAAGTAAAGTGAATTTATTTTCAACAAAGTTAGTGGACTGTAAAATAAGGTGCTACCAAATTAAAGAGTGAACAGGGAAAGCAAGCAGAACCAGTTCAGTAATAGGGCAGGAAACATATAAAAATCATGCTTGGGAGAACACAACCATCAAAAAGAACAGCATCAGAAAGGTCAGAGGCTCATCAAACACTCTTATTAACCAGAACAGCATGTTGTGATTTAGGCCTTAGTTCTAACTTTACGATGGTCCAGATGGGAAAGGGAGTGGGACGGGAGGCCTGCTGGTCCGACCACCCAGACCACAGGCGCGGTGATTAATCAACCTCAGAGTTCCCATGTCTGCCCATGTCATTGGGTAAGGAGGAGGGAAACTATCATTCTCCCCTATGCACGCTCTTTGGAGGGGATAATTATACTCAGAGCAGAGAGACGACACACAACACAGAAGGTGCTTCATGCCAGGGTACCAGGAACAGTGAGGGAACTTTGGATTGACACCAATTAGCCTTTTTTCCACCCTTCTCTCCAGTTCTTTTGGCACTGCTGAGTGATGACACTGTCACCTTAAAAAGTGTATCTGGGGAGGACACACCTGCTCGCCAAATGCACACATACAGAGAAACAGCCTGGCAGCGTGCTGAATGCAGCTGCTCTGTTGCTGAGTTGGCAAAGTGGAGACCAAGACACCTTTAGCTTCGCAGGTACTAAAACAGGAAGGACCAGCAGCCAGGAGGATGTCCAGGGCAAAGCGCCTGGGCTGAAAGTGGACCTCACTGGACAGGAATGTACTGAGACCAAACTGAGTAGCAGAAGCAGTGGTCTTTGTTCCCCTGGATTCCTAGTTCACCCTTTATGTGTCCACTCTCTCACTGCCCAGGTAACCAGAATTGTCATTCTCCCTCCAGATACCAACACCGTTTTTAGAAAGGACCTTACATATGCCTTCAGACTGAGGTACAAATGTTCCTCTCCCAGGAACATCTGCAGAATCTACTTGACTTAAGTCAAGAGAAGGACATACTAAATTACAGAATTTTAAAAATGAGCAGAAGGACTTTAGGGATAGGGTGGGGAAAGGAGAGAGGGAGACCAGTGTGGTGAGGACAGGCTTCCCATGTGGCTCACCCTGCCACTTGGTGGGCAGCCTGACCTAAAAGCTAGGAGGCAGTGAACAGAGATTCCTATAGAGAGATAAGCCAGGCGGTACTTGTCTTACAAGAACAATCTGTCCTGGAATTAGAAAGTTCAGGATACAATAATGTCATTAGTCCAACAAACGTTTGTTGAGGGCCAGCCCTGTAATGGGAATGAGGACTCATGAAGGAATTCGCACACAGTTCACATTCTCCGTCGCTCCTTGTCTAAAGGTGGCAAAAGACAGCTGAGGAGACCCTGGTGATGCAGGTGCAGCTACAGAGGTGAGTCCAACGCTCGCTGCACATCTGCCATCTCAGGAGGTTTACTGAGATGTCCTCACCACAGCCGAGTCCTCTGAGGGTGGGCACTGTGCTGCTTTCTTCATTTCTTTTTTTCTCTCCTCTCTTCTCCATCTTCCTGCTAGCACTTCATCTCATTCTTTTTTCTCTTGTTTTCCTCTGCCCCAACATTTTCTAACTTTTCTAGGAGCATAGAGTGGTTTTTATTCCCGGTAAGGATTTCTGTGTTTACAAAAGTGGTAGCAATTCTCTTTTGTGTGTGTTCAGTACTGGCCCCAGAAGCACCTGAGGTTTAGTTCCACGGTTTCCACTCTGGCTTCAGGGGAGAAAGGAGAAAGTTGTGTGTAGATGTCTGGAGCACACAGGTGCCTCTGCGGAAGGATCACATACATGCACACGTGCACGCGTGCACACACCCAACCCTCATCAGAACGTCGCAAGCACTGCCGCTCCTTCCCAGGAGCATCGCCCCAGCAACACGACGACACAGTGCAGTCCCTTCCAAAGGGCCTGGCGGCTTCTTCATGTCCACTCCTGTGCTCATGCTTTTGGCCCTTGGCTGCACTGCTGTCTTCCCACATTCACTTGTAATTAATTTAGCTGCTAGCTGGACACTTGCTAGCAAAAGGCATTACATAGTGGTCAGTGTAATGTACCCTCCCACCCCACTGGGCACCTGCCCATCTCCATCTCCCTATCTGTCAGGTGCCAGCCCATGGTCTTCTGAACTCTTATGTCACTTGTGGCTCCTTGAACTCATTTTAGGTCATACTTTTTATTGTTAATTACCTGAATGCCAGTGAGTTGATTTGTTCTCCCTGCCTGCTTTAAACTCTTCAAAAGCGTTAATACCGCTGTAATTTCCCATAGAAACATGTAAATCATTGTGCATAACTATTGATTGAGTGCTTGCCTGGCCTCAAACTGTGAGAAGAGAAGTATTAAGGAAGGCACAGTCTGAGGCTGATTTTAGAACCCCTGCTGCGAGGGCTCTCCTTTTACTTTACATTTACACGTATGCATGTTTATATCCGTCTGCTCGCTCACGTGCACACACTGCTGCTGTTCTGTGTGCTCACAGTGACTCTGAAGAAAGCAGTGACTGAGCAGACTGTGCTGCTTGTGTGTCAGCGCACGGTGCTAATCTCAGACGTTCTGTGTCATAAACGAAGCTTTACATATCAACGTATTACTGATGTCTTTGCTATTTTCTTCATCTCTACTTTCCTCTTTCCAAGGGTGACAAAGCTTTAGGCAAAGCCTGGAAGGGTCCAACAGGTGGTAGAAAAAACTGTGTACAACTTATAGGTTTAAAAAAAGAAGAGAAAAAATAATGCAGATCACTGACTGAGAAATCTCTTGTCTTCTAAATTAGTCAGAAACTACTGAGGAATGTGCTCATTGCTGGAAGGGGCCAGACATCCGCAGAGAAAGGCTGCAAAGATTAACAGAGAGTTGGAAACTAGGACCCTGGAGATGAAATGTTTATAGGTTCATTTGGTCTGGAGAAAAGAGAGCTGTAAAGTGACTTCAGTGGTGATCCTGAATGTATAAAGGGGTGTTGTAAGAAGAGAATAGATGCTCGATGACCGTTCATTTATGATGGAGCTAGGAACCAACTCCTCACCATTTCTAACAAGGACTGAAAAGGAGGACATGGCCTTTTATAACAGCAATTGGGACTCTGGTTAGATATTAAAATGACCTTTTCTACAACGAGGGCTTTTAAAAAATCGAACTGTATTTCTGAGGAAGATTGTGAAATCTCCTTTCAGAAAGTCTCAAAAAAAACCAGCATGACTTTACAGTAGTCTCCAGTTATTTTATTTCAGTTTTTTGGTCAAAGCTGGTGAGAAGGACTAAATGACCTTTCGAAGCCTCTTTGATCTTCATAGTTCTAGGAAAAGGCATTAACAAGTTTGAAAGCTTTATGAATTATAATCACATCCAGTCGTTTATAGTAAACAGTGTCCCCAAAGGGGTCAATAGAAGGGCTGTTTACTTGGCGAGTCTTCTTCTCTTTACATGACTCCCATTCGAAAGGCAGATTCATGCCACCTGCTAAGGGAAATTTAATTCAATTCCTGTGTTAGGAACGAAACCAGGATTTGAATAAACTACAGAGAATTAATGAAGGAGCACAGCAAGAACCTTTCAAAACATATGATACTCTGTTTTACTTCCTAGTAGAAGTCATAGAATGACCAATACTCCCACTCAGAAAAACAAAAAACAAGCAATATGAATTGGTGTATGCATGAGGCAGTGAATTACTAAGGAATTCACATGATAAATATTCACAAAGAGAGGCCTGAGAGGCAAAACAAATGGGAGACTGAACAGCCAGCCGCTGAGTCGGAATCCCTCGGGAGGCCCGGCACTAGCCATCCCAGGAAGCACCCTCAGTGCATGCGGTGCTGCTGATACAGACCGACCTGCCAAAATACTGAATTGCACGCCGAAATATGACGTAACAGAAGCCACTCTTAGAGTTGTTTACACATGCTGTCATCAAGAAACAAAATTTTATTTTCTTTAATTTAACACATCAGAAAATAGCTTTTAAATGGCCAGCCCTGGTCACCAGTGGTAAGCAATTTCAGTTATATTTGCCATCTTTGGACTGTCTTAACCTCTTAACCAGTCAACTCTGCCTTCCCAATTTCTTACCCTTGAAAACCTCATTATGGTTATTTTAGTTGTTGTTTTACTGGTGTAATTAATGATGACAGCAACAAAATCTTAAATAGCACTTACTATATACCAGGCACTGTGCTAGTACTTTACACTTATTAACTCATTTTGATCCTTCCAACAACCTTGTAAAAATTCCCCCTTTCAGATGTGTAAACCGAGGCAAGAAAGTCCTCGCCTTGCCCAACGTCTAATGACTGGTAAGTAGCAAAGCTGGGAATCAATCCCAAGCAGCCTGGTTCCAGGATCAATGCTCTTGATCACTCCCTATCCAGCTGTTGGCCTCCGCCTTCCTGATCTGCCTGACAAGAGCAACTCAGTACCTGAGCACTAACCTCTCGCTCGGTTCTCTGAGAACCACAGGAATGACCCATCCTCACAGCGCAATCTGTGAGACAGGAATTACATTTCTTATTGG